AATTTAATAAATATTGCCAAATAAATGAAATTAATTACATAAATATACCTCAATTCTATATAATTCATAAAAATACTTGAAATATATAAAAAAATTAATTAGTAATATATATGAGAGTTTATTGATAAAGAAAAATATAAAGAAAATTGAAAATTAAACTACCAATAAATTGAAATGAATAGCACCTCTTATTTCAAGTAACATATTAAAGGAAGAGGAAGAGGAAAAGGAAGAGGAATGGAGAGAAGAAGAGAAAAGCAAGAAGGAAAATAGAAGAAATGGAGATGAAATGGAAAATGAAAAGGAAGAGGAAATGGAGAGAAGAGGAAAGGAAAGATTAAGATGAGAAAGTGAAATATATTAGTGGAGTAATGGAAGAGAGGAGAAAAAAGGAAGTGAATTTGGATAAGGGATAAGAAAAATAAAAGAGAAGAAGAAGAAGATGGGAGAAAATGCTGAGGAAGGGAAGGTTGGAGATTTATATAAATAAATATTATTTTTTACGGCTTAACGCTGAAAAATAATGTGGATGGGATTTTAAAAATTTTACAAGGAAAAAATGACGCTTAAATGTTGGATTTCAAACTTCGAATAAAATTATTTTTCAATACTAAGCGTTAGAAAATAATATTGGCAAGATTTTGAATTTTTAAAAGAAAAAATACTTGAATATTTGGTTTTTAAATTTCTTCATAAACTTATTTTCTAGCGCCAAGCATTAGAAAATAACTTGAACCAATTGGACAAGAATATTTTCCAACGCTCAGCTCTAGAATATAACCTAAACCAATTGGGGACAAGTATTTCCCAATGTCTAACACTAAAAAATAACCTAAACCAATTGATACGAGCATTTTCCAATACCAAGCACTAAAAAATAACTTGTACAACTTAGGTAGAATTATTTTTTAATGCTAAGCACTAGAAAATAACTAACACTCCATTTCTATCGTTTAACTTTAACAATTCTAAACATAACTTATAGGAGAGGTAATCCTATAAGAAAAGATAACTTTTTTTTATTTTTTAATTTATCTCACTTTTATATTATATAACTTGAACTCAATGTTTTCTAACTTGAACCGGAGGTCAAACCGTTTTGATTTTCGGTTTGTGATTTGAATGGTTCAATCGGTTTAATCGGTAAAACCACCGGCTTAATGAAATACTATAAATATATGATTTTGCAAAAGATATCACACTGTATTGGTGGGTTGCACTGGTAGATGGTTAAAAGAGTCGGAGTTCAAGTCCCCTCAATAACAAATTTAAATATAATTGTGCTTCTAAGAGAGAGTTGGAGTTCAAGTCCCCTCAATAATAAATTTAAATATAATTGTGCTTCAAAATAAAATAAGTATATTGTAAAGCATTAAAATGACAAAGAACATTGTGTACAAGTGGAAAATAAATAAATAAATGATCTTGAGTTCTTGACAATCCGGTCCGATGATATCGACCTCAAGATAGTGAGATTACCTCTGTGAGCAGTTTTAAATATCAGAGATTCCCTTACTCCGTTTCTCTCTCTCTCTCCCCCCCCCCTTTTCTCTCCCTTCTCTCTTGCTTCTGCTTCCTTCTCCGGCGCTGCGTATATTTTGCTCGGAAGCCTTTGAGCTTCCGAGGTTTTGATGCTTGAGCCGCTGGGCTCCCCAGCCACTCAAGCATGCTGGAGCCGGTCTGTGCTCCATCCTCCGATGACCCTTCGGGGTTATTCGGTTTCCTCCGATGATCCTTCGGGGTCTGTCGGTTTCTGGGTCCCTTTCCGGTGACCCCTTTTGGTTTTTCTGTTTTCTGTTTGTTTGTGTTGTGTTGTGTTCTTGTACAGGTTGTTTTTACAAGCCCGGCGACCCTCGACTCTTTCCGGTGTCGGGGCTCGTTGGTTGTCCAGATCTGGCCATCGCCGGTCTGGATCCCTGCCGCGGTGTCCTGGAGATTTCATGCCATCCTCTCCCGAGTAGATTGAAGGGTGTCCCATTGTTGGATCTGCCGGCCACAGGTTGCGCGAGTGTCTTCACCTCCCTTCATCCACTGCACTGGGTCTACTCTGCCTTGCTTCTCCACTGTGTTCTTTCTTTGTATGAAATCTTATCCCTTTGGATAAGACCTTGCTGTAGATGCCGTATGGCAGTTCTTAATGCATTGCTTCCCTTGCGTTCAAAAAAAAATATCAGAGATTCCCTTTCCCTAACGCTCATTTATTTGTATGTACTAATTTAATCTCGTTAAAAAAAAAAAGATAAATAACCAGAAAAATATCTATGCGTTTGTGGTGTATACTCTTCAACACCATAATCATTTATCATATATGCCAAAAGTGGGGTCCTCCCCGATTGTGGAGCATTTATCTCACGTCAATTCTATATGTATATATTTAAATGATATATATATAATTTTATATAATTTTAAAATAATTAATTTTAAAATTATGATATATCATGTACATGTATTTTTTATTTTGTTTAAAAAAATATATACCAAAAAATAAATAAATAAATAAATAACCAAAAAAATATCTATCAATTTGTGGTGTATACTCTTCACCCGATATTCATTTATCACATGTGCTAAAAGTCATGATCGATTGACGCAGGTGTTAGTGCTACGTCAATTATCGTTTTCTAAATTCAATGGTCTTATGTTCGTGTTAGGACTTTTCTTTTAGGTTAATAATATAGGGTTTATTGTTTTATATAATTTTTTTATTTCATTAAATAAATAGGTGTTTTAAATATTATAAATTTTAAATGAGTAAAAAAATAATTATTTTAATAACATATAAAATTATATTAAAAAATAATATAAAAAATTAATTTTTAAATCATTTTCCTTTCCTTTATATACCATACCATGAAGTTAGGGGACTAATCTGCACCATCTCCCATTTAGAGTGAAATTGATTTACTCCTT